GGGCTGCCTGGCAGTTCTGTAGCGCAGAGTGTCCCCGCTGAGAGACACGTTACACAGAAGCAGAAGGAATTACTGGTGACCTCCTACACGTGCTGCAGAACTAGACTTGGCCGAATTTGATTTTTATTTTTGATCATTTGGACGGATAATATCAGTGTTTATTCGTAAGCCTTTTTTTAAAATTAGATTTGCATTGAGCTACATCTTCACAGCTGCACAAAATTGGGGGCTTTTTTCAGACAATGGGGGGTGCCGACTACAATTATTTTATAGCACTAGACGTTCAGATTCAAAAAGTTCAAGCTTTCTAACCGGTACAGCCCAAATTGTCAATGTCACATATCGAAATACACAAAGGAAACGGCCTTAAATCAAACTACTGCCTTCTCAGGCAGCGCTCTGCCGCTCTGTACATTTCACTGATCAGTGGCGGAAAAACTTTTTATCAGTTTGTGCATGTACGTGGTGAAATCAACATTTACTGATACAAATCTTCTCCTCCCAAGCCCGTGCACAGATAAGCGTGGTGGGCGGTTGCACAAGCGGGTGTGTTATGTGAAATATATTTGGAGAAACGTATATGGTAAAAAGATGCCATGTATTGCTAATGAGGTAGCTGCGTATCTATATATGGACAGGGGGGTGCATGTTACGTGAAATAGGTTTTGGGAAATATGCATGGTAAGAAGGTGCCCTGTATAGACAGCTAGATGTGGATCTATGTACAGATAGAGGAGTGTGTGTATAATTTGTGTGTCTATGTAAAATCTGTGAGTATATGCCTCTTTGCATATATGTGTATGTATGTAAAATGTGTGAGTGTGTGCAGAAATATGTGTATCTTGTGTACATATATACACACACAAATATATATATACACATATATGATACACACACATCTCACATCTATTTATGCGACTGTGTATCTATAAAGAAAATGGGTGTCTATATCTGTATACTATGGGTTTGTTTAATATCTAGCCTCTTGGAGTGTTTTCCAAACTGTATTTTACGTAGTACATCTAAGCTTGTACAGAGTCTGAAACTTCCTTATCATGTGTCGCATACAAGGTTGTTTTGTACAGTCTTGGCCTAGAAGGAGGCAGGAGGCAGAGCAACTGAAAGATAAAAGGGGGGGGGGAAGAGGGGTGACATCACGGTTGGGGGGTTTACCCCTAGATCAGGAAGAGGAGGTGGAGGAGGCATTTCTAGAACAAATAACAGAAGGATTCAAAACACAAGATCTGGTAGTAAGGGGGGGAGGGGGCTGCACCTCCCCAGACATCTGTTGGGAAAGGAATATGGCAAGATTTCCAGTACGGTGCCGGAATGTGCTGGGCCAGCTGTTTGTTCCAGCCAGCGGAGGAAGTAACCGGGGGACAGGCAGTTTTGACTTGATTCTGATCAGTGGGGAGGAATTGGTTGCAAATCTGAAGTTGGAGGGCGATTTGGGTGAACATGAGAACGGTCATACTGGGTCAGACCAAAGGTCCATCCAGCCCAGTATCCCGTCTGCTGACAGTGGCCAATGCCAGGTGTCCCAGAGGGAGTGAACCTAGCAGGTAATGATCAAGTGATCTCTCTCCTGCCGTCCATCTCCACCCTCTGACAAACAGAGGCTAGGGACACCATTCCTTACCTGTCCTGGCTAACAGCCATTAATGGACTTAACCTCCATGAATTTATCCAGTTCTCTTTTAAACCCTGGTATAGTCCTAGCCTTCACAATCTCCTCAGGCAAGGAGTTCCACAGGTTGACTGTGCGCTGTGTGAAGAAGAACTTCCTTCTATTTGTTTTAAACCTGCTGCCCATTCATTTCATTTGGTGGCCCCTAGTTCTTATATTATGGGAACAAGTAAATAACTTTTCCTTATTCACTTTCTCCACATCCCTCATGATTTTATAGACCTCTATCACATCCCCCCTTAGTCTCCGCTTTTATTGTGACGGGATAGAGTCCATGTTTCGGGGGGAAGGAAGGCATGAGAGCAGCAGGAACAGGACAATGGACATCAAAAAAAGCAGACGCTGACAGACTCCGAGAACTGGCAGCTGAGGTCCCGTGGGAAGAAAATCTATGGGATAAAGGAGTTGAGGAGAGCTGGCGGTTTCTCAAGGAGACACTATCAAAGGCACAACTGTGAAGTATCCCAGTGCAAAGGAGAGATCAGAAGAACAGCAAGAGGCCGACGGGGCTCCTTCAGGAGCTCTTTAATGACCTGAAAATCAAAAAGGAATCCTACCAAAAGTGGAAACCTGCATGAACTGCTCAGGAGGAGAACAAAAGAACAGCGCAAGCATGTTGGGACAAAATCAGACAGGCTAAGGCACAAAATGAGTTACCCCTGCAAGGGCCATATAAAGCAAGAAGATGTTTTTTAAATGCATTAGGAGCAAGAGAAAGGCGAAGGAAAGTGGAGGTCCTCTGCTTAGCGGGGAAGGAGAGCTAATAACTGATGACATCCAGAAGGCTGAAGTGTATCGTGCCTATTTTGCATCAGACTTCATTAAAATGGCTAACGGTGCCCAGGTACTTAACACAATGAATATTAACCAGGGGGAAGGACAGCAAGCCAAAATAGGAAATGATCAGGTTAAAGCATATTTAAATAAGTTGCATGTATTCAAGTGGGCAGGGTCTGATGAAACTCATCCTGGGTTACTTAAGGAACTAGAAGCTGAAGCAATCTCGGAACCGTTAGCGATGATCTTCGAGAACTCCTGGAAGACGGGTGAGGTCCCAGAGGACTGGACAGGGGCAAACGTAGTATCTATCTTTTAAAAGGGGAACAAAGAGGACCCAGAGAATTAAAGGCCAGTCAGCCTGACTTCTGTACCTGGAAAGATACTGGAACAAATGATTAAACAATTGGTAAGCCCCTAGAGGATAACAGGATAATAAGGACTAGCCGGCATGGAGTTGTCAAGAACAAATCATGCCAAACCTAATTTCCTTCTTTGACAGGGTTACTGGCCCAGTGAGCTGTAGACAGGAAATATCTTGATTTCAGAAAATCTTTTGATGCAGTCCCATGTGACAGTCTCATAAGCAAACTAAGGAAATGCATCTAGATGTCATTACTAGACGGTGGGTGCCCAACTGGCTGAGAATTGTTCTCCGAGAGTAGTTTTCAATGGTTGGCTGTCAAACTGGGAGGGTGTGTCTGCTGGGGTCCCGCAGGGGTCGGTCCTGGGTCCAGTACCGTTCAATATTTGTATTAGTGACTTGGATAACGGAGCGGAGTGTGTGCTGATACGTTTGTGGCTGACACCAAGCTGGGAGGGGTTGCAAGCACTTTGGAGGGCAGGATTCGAAGTCCAAACAGGCTGGACAAATTGGAAAATTGGCTTGAAATCAACAAGAGGAAATTCAGTACAAGTGCAAAGTGCTTCACTCAGGAAGGAAAAATCAAACGTCTAGTGTCAGGAAGAGGAGCTGGGGGTTAGAGTGAGTCACAAAGTGAATGAGCCAGCGACGTGATGCATTTGTGAAACCAGCTAATATTCCGGGGTGTATTAGCAGGAACGTCATATGTGAGACATGGGTGGGGATTGTCCCATTCTGCTCGGCACTGGCGAGGCCTCTGTCCAGTTCTGGGCGCTGCGCTTTAAGAAAGATGTGGACAAATTGGAGAGAGGCCAGAGGAGAGCCACAGAAATGATCAAAGGTTTAGAAAACCGGACCTGCGAGAGAAGATTAAAATCTGGGCATGTTTAGTCCTTCAAATGTCTTAAGGGCTGTTATGTGGGGACGGGGATCAATTGTTCTCCATGTCTCCCGAGGGCAGGACAGGAAGCACTGGGCTTCATCTGCAGCGAGGGAGATGTAGGGTAGATATTAGGGAAAACTTTCTAACTAACTCTAAGGGGAGTTAAGCTCTGGACCAGGCGTCCAAGGGCGGTTGTGGGATCCCTGACAGGACACGAGGTTTTTAAGAACAGGTTGGACAAGCCCCTGTCAGGGATGGTTGAGGTTGATTTGCTCCCTCCTCAGCGCAGGGGGCTGGACCTGAGGAGCTCTCGAGGTCCCTTCCAGCCCCACATTTCTGTGTTTCTCTGATATTTTATTTCTCTACTGTACAGACATTTTGTTAAAACCACGTCTTCTCTTAATATATGAGATGCTGCTTGCGCCTCTGTAGTCACGGTTAAGTTGAATTTTGCTCCTAAAACAAGGTTATACAGAATATATTGTTTTCTAAAATCTAATCTAATCTATCTATCCCCATACACCCCTTCTATTGATCTATCTATCTATCCCCATCCACCCCCTCTATCTATCTATCCCCATCCACCCCCTCTATCTATCTATCTATCTATCTATCTATCCCCACACACCCTATCTATCTATCCCCATCCACCCCATCTATCTATCTATCTATCCCCACACACCCCATCTATCTATCTATCCCCATCCACCCCCTCTATCTATCTATCCCCATCCACCCCCTCTATCTATCTATCTATCTATCTATCTATCTATCTATCCCCATACACCCCATCTATCTATCCCCATACACCCCATCTATCTATCTATCTATCTATCTATCTATCTATCTATCTATCTATCTATCCCCATACACCCCATCTATCTATCCCCATACACCCCATCTATCTATCTATCTATCTATCTATCTATCCCCACACACCCCTCATCTATCTATCTATCTATCCCCATCCACCCCCTCTATCTATCTACTATCTATCCCCACACACCCTATCTATCTATCCCCATATACCCCATCCATCCATCTATCTATCCCCATACACCCCATCTATCTATCTATCTATCTATCTATCTATCTATCTATCTATCTATCCCCACACACCCCCTCTATCTATCTAATCTACTTTCCTAAACTATATAAAGGGAACGTAGCCTATAAGGTAATAATAGAGAATAGTTAATTAAGGATCATTTCTTGACTCCATGCGAGACGCAGACTGGGAGTTATTAACAGAAAGTAGCTTCACACAAAATGGCAGAGACTAAGGAGAATTCTGTGTCTGCACATGGCTGAATCCCCGTGAAATGCCTGGAACAGGCACTGGTCTAATAAACGAAGCATGAAATAATAATATGTATTGTCTGGATTATGGTAGAGCCCAAAGGCCCAGCTGTGCCGGGCGCTGCACGGACACAGTAAAACAGTGTAGTGAGGAGCTGTGTTGTTATTTTCTACACACAATCACACACATGTACACACACCCGGTCCTATCCCCCCCCACATACACACACAGATACACACCTACCTTCACACACACCTATTCCTACACACACATACACACACCCACTGCCATATATCTATATATACACACACCTATTCCTCCACACACACATCCACACCTATATATCTACATATACACAAACCTACCTTCACACACATGCATACATATACACACACACACACACAGAGGTACACACACACATCTGCAGACACAGAGCTGCACATGCACACAGACACACACACACAGACTCCCTATTGAATAGCCCTGCATGAGTCAGTAGACACTCGTGCACACCTGGATGTTCACACACACAGCTGGGTCACCACGCTGAGTCAGTGGCGTGCCCTGCGCCGTTCACGGGGTGTCCGCCTGCAGTGGGGCAGACCCAGGGAGCTGAGGTCTGCCCCCAGGAGCCCCCCGGGCAGGGCCGGCTGGCTCCAGAGGACGCCCCTCACTCTCAGCGGCAGCTGGGGCCTGTTGCCTGCTGGGGGTTGGGGTTGTTCTTGTACCTGGCTGGGAAGGTCTCTTTTGGAGCCACCTCCCCGGGGGGTTCAGGGCAAGGGGCTGTTAATCCTCGGAACCCCCAGCAGCAGGATGTTACTGGGGCGCAGGGTTTGCTGCAGGGTAGCGGCGTTCTTCACTGGCTGGGCTTTGGGGGCGGGGAGATCGCTCGATGACTCAGTTATTGGTCTGTGTGGACGGCGCGGGGAGAGGTGGCTGCTAACTGGGCCCTCCCTGTGCCCCCAGCTGCCCTGCTTCTGGGTGAGGAGCCCCTGGACCCCAAATGTTTCACGCGCTGCCTGGAGGACCTGACCTGCTTCTGGGAGAGCAGCAGCCCCCCGAGCGCCACGGAATACGGCTTCTTCTACGTCGTGGAGTGAGTCCCCCTCCCCCACCGGGGGCCCCTCTGCAGGGAGCTGAGGGGGGGAGGGGGCAAGTCTTGGAATGCCAATGATACCATGATGCCTCTCGTCCCCCCCATGCCCACCTCTGTGCCCCCAAGTCTCACCCCACAGCCTGCGCCCTTGCCCCCTCCCTCTGCACCCTCAGGCTGGGCCCCCCATGTCGGCCCCACCAAGCATGCCCCCTATGCTGAGACCCCCATCCCATGTCTGCCACCCCAGGCCTCCCCTCCCCCCGGGCTCTGCTGCTGCTGACCCCCCGCCCCCCTCTCTCCCCGACTCCGACAGGGGGGACGCCCCACAGCGCTGCAACGTGAGCGTGGCCCGGACGCCCTGGAACAGCACCCGCTTCAGCTGCGTCTTCCCCCCCCAGGACACCCCGTCCTTCACCCCCCTGCGCGTCGGCGCATACGTCGGCAACAGCAGCAACGTTGTCCACGCCCGCACCATCATGATCAACCAAGTGGGTAGGTGTGAGAGCCGGGAGGGGAAAGGCCCCACGTCCCCCTGAGCCAGCCAGTCCTCCTGCCCCGGGCCAGAGCGGAGCCGGCGCCCCCCAGAGGGGAAAGGCCCCATGGCCCATTCCCCACCCCCTGAGCCAGCCAGTCCCCCTGCCCCAGGCTGGATTGGAGCCGGTGCCCTCTAGAGGGGAAAGGCCTCGAGTCCCATTCCCTGCCCCCCTGAGCCAGCCAGTCCCTGCCATGGGGCCGGACAGGAGCCAGTGCCTAGCCTCACTCCCTACCCCCGACCCAGCCGGTCCTGCCCCGGGCCAGATGGGAGCTGGCGCCCCCTAGAGGGGAAAGGCCTCGAGCCCCATTCCCAGCCCCCCGGACCCACCAGCTCACTTCTCCCGCCCTTGCCCCACAGTTCTCCTGGAGCCTCCAACCAACCTGACGGCGCGCGCGACCGAGAGCCCGGGGCAGCTGGCGGTGAGCTGGCAGCCGCCCGGCCTGCGCTACCTGGAGAGCAGCCTGCGCTACGAGGTGGCCTTCGCCCCCGAGGGCGCCGAGCGCCAGACGGTGAGTGCCCCTTCCCCGCCCGGCCCCCCGCC